CTTCCGCCTTATCGCCGTTTCTACCTCGCTTTCGGCTGTTGCTCCGTTTCCTTCTCGACGTCGATTCTCTCGCGATTCCTTATCCTCTCGGCGCGTCCTTTCTCCTTCGTCGTCCTCTGGGTCGCGATGTCGTTCGTCGTGCCTTCCGCGCAGCGCTCGATCACCGCTACGCCGTTCGTGTCGCGTTCGCGCGCCAATTCGGTCACGCGGTCCGACCAAACTCGCGCACTTGTTCCTCACTCACTCGCGCACTGTTCGCAGTTCGCGGTACCTCGGGATCGACGTCCCGAGGCCGACATCCTCGTCCGTCGCGACAGGCGATCGCGATGCCGTTTCCTTCGTCCCTCGATCGGCCGATCGCGGCGTCCTTCCTTTCCTTCGATCGAGACGGAACGCGCGCACAGCGATTCGATCGAACACCCTCGTCGTCGACGAACCAACGCTTCGATCGACGGTTCGGTAGCCCCGCGATCACTGCGGAGCAGCCGGGACACGAAACTCGCGGTAACCTCGTCGACGCTCCGTTTGCACTCACTTTGCACTCTCACTCGGGCCAACTCGTCGGCGCGGACAAACCGGACGACGCGACTCGCGCGCTCATCGAGAATCGCTCGTCCCGCGCGAACACCGGTGAAACGCGACGACGTCCAGTTTCGGATCGAGATCGGGACCGGAATCGAGATCGAGATCGAGATCGCGCGCACGCGGTAGATCAGCCGCGTATCCCCGCGTCGTAGTATCCTCGGTATCGTGGTATATCGACGCTGGGTGGATGCGCGGTGGCACGAGCCACCGCGAGCCACAGGGCAGAGAGGGTGTGCGCCGTGCGCGCACCGTACGGTGGGTGGTGGACACCGGAGGTGGGGAAGGTTGGAGCGAAAAAGAGCGATCCAGGGAGGCCGTCGGTGGCGAGGCTCGAACGGAGACGAACGGAGAAAACGAAGAAGAGAAAGAGGGGGTGGTGGCGGGGGAGAGAAGCCGTAGAGACAGATAAACTGGAGGAGAGAGACAGAGAGTGGGAGAGAGAGAAAGAGAGAGAGAGAGATCCATAGTAGCGCTACTGTTGGGGGTGTAAGGACGAGCTAAAGAGGAAGACCGAGTCGATAAGCCGCGCGTGTAGGTGCCCGTGTAGCGCGCTCGTGCCGGCACAAGCAGGAGGAGGAGAAGAGAGGTGATACTCGACTACCGCCTCGATACGACTATTCTTGGGGCCGACCAGAGACCGACTGCCGACTAAGACGACCCCTGACACCGACCTGTTCCCCACCAGGCCAAATTCTCTCGCGGGTTTCTCGCGGGTTTCACCGGTTGCCATGACTACCGAAGGTGGGGTCGAGTCCCGGGCGCGCCCCGATGCGCCTC